ATTTAGTAAATTGAATGAGTTAAGTAACAAAAATTTTATAAATCTTCTAGATATAGTTAGAATTCACAGTACTTATTTTTAAAGAAGACAGAAATATTATAAAATAAGTTTTATCTATTTTATTTTATTATTATTATTTTATTTATTAGTATTTATATAGTTTTTTTTTATTTTTAAGGTAGCTTACATTGCTGAGTGATTTTTATTAGTTTGATATATGAGATTATACATGAGTAATCCCTATAGTTTGTAATTAAATGAAGAGTATACAACAAGCTATACATACAACTTTAGTCATTGTTTAATTTAAGTAATCTACTACACAGATGATAGACTACTTGATTAGTTCTACACTATGCTACTATATCTGTAACCTACCTGTGAGTTATTTATTTAAACACTCTATTCAACTAACCTATACTATTATAAACTAATATCATTATAATACCTAACTGCTTAAGCTAGCTAGCTCATTACAAATTCATTTTTCAACTCTAGCTTAGATCCTCTTAGGATGCTTATTGCTCAATATATTGTGAGCTCACAGAGTTTCAGTTAACCTCAAAGTATACCTACTGGAGCAATCTGTATTCATTTTACGAATTTATCTAGTTTAGACCCTTGTAGATATTCATATAACTCTAGTTTCTACTGTAGCTTTCTACTAGTTTTCTGTTTGCTAATCTTTTTAGATATTTTACAAAGTAGATTTTCCTAATTCAGTTAGCTACTAAGCCAAGTTGGTGTTGCTGATCCTCTTTGTAGAATGAACTTACTTGTATCTCTCTCAATTTACATTTTCAGAGGGACAGTTTTTTTTCTGAATTAAGCATTATCTAGTGTAATTGTTAAAAGCTATACTACTTCACCAACTCAGGATTTCTACTATGCAGGTCCCCTACTCATAGATTCTATCAAAATTTATTTATGTAACATTATGTCTCTTCAAATGCCTCATCACATTTCCAATATCTGAATGATATTAATGCAATATGATTTACAAAGTTACAATTCCAGAAATAGAAAAGGTTTACTGTAAGTTGAGTACAAAGGTTCAAATAATTATTCAAATTTGTTAATAGTAGGATTTGAACCTTAAACATCTTGTATAGCAGTCTGGCAATCTAACTACTATACTAAGATTGCTAGATCTTAGTATTTATATAGTTAATTTCTTGAATATATTTTATTTAATAATGATTTTTCAATAAACTAAATAATTAAAGTTAGTTTTAAATTAGACTATTAGATCCAACTCGATGAGATCTTTCTAACAAGCTATAAATCATATAAAACAAATATATAATTATTAAGTTATTTTAAAAGCAATGTTAGAACAAATTACCTTTTCTACTTTTTCTACTTTTTCTAAAAAGCTATATAAACTCTTCCTTTTCTCTTTGTTCTGAATTAGGTTTGATTTCTGCAATCTCTTTAATATTAGAATTCTTTTAGTATAGAAACTAATAGATAGTCTTGTATTATTGATATTGTATCTTAAATAAAGTATAATATTTGCTCTTTTATTAACTTTGTAACAAACTGCTACAGTGAAGTAATATTCTACTTGGACACCATTGAAAGCCTCTCTTCCATGTCTTATGTTACTTGTATTGTATTAAGAAGGCTGACACTTGTAACAATAATAAAAAAATAATAATGATAATAAAATAGATAAAACTTTATTTTATAATACTACTTTTATTAATAATTTAATTAAAAATTTAAGTTAAAGAAAAAAGGTTAAATATTATCGCTCTTTGTTACTTAATTTAATAAACTTCAAAGTATATAACATGTAAGTATTTAATTTTTTGAAAGTATGTTTTCTTTATTGTAAAGATTCAAATTAAGTTATAGTACAGCTTAAAAAATAATATTTTACTATTATTAAATATTTGAAAAAAAACTTTAAGGTATACTACTTTCATTTATTAGATTCGAAGGCAATATAGCCTTTGTTGTAAAGTTTTTTGGAAAAAAAGCTCATGATTAAAGATTTATACTAGAAAAAAAATTATAAAAGCATACTCCTTTTTTTCAAGATATTACGTGTTATTTATTAAAGACATCATTATTTCATTATAAGAGAGGTAAGCGCTAACTAAAATGTCTATCAAGGATCAGATCCCAGGAACCGAAGTCCTATGAAAAAATAACAATTATATCATGTGATTTCAGGACCGAATTACATTTTGTAGCGATGCTAGACTTTTTTGGGCACAGGCAAAAGAATGGGCACTTCGTGTCTGGCCTAAAAATGCCGGGCACGTTTTGAGACACTAGCATTGGCACGGGCATTTGCAGAACCCTAGTATATTTAACTTTTTATAACAAAAAATTTTACGATATTACTAAATAGATATATTTTTAATTTCTTGTATACGTATAGTATTTATTAAACAATCATTTTTTAATACAAAAAAATCTGTACACATATTTTTGATAATTAAGGTTAGCCCACTTAGAGTTAGTGTGGTATCGATAATCAAAAAATAATATAAACCCGCGTTTTTAAATTTACCTTTTTTATTGTAGATTAGGGTAAGATTAACTTATTAGGAGATGACATGCATCAAACCTAACGTTAATATTATTTTATCAAATGTTAATACCTAAATAATTTTCGCCAAAAATTTTCAAAGGTAGAAACTCTTAAAAATTAATTAAAATTATAAAAATCAGCCAATAAGAATTTTAACTGATTTTGGAAAACAATTTTTTAAAATGTCACAAAAACATGAAATTATGAGTCAAATACTGAAATATTGAATCGGGATATACCGAGGTTAGATTTTTGACACTATTTGTGATGCGAATGAAAACAATGTAACTCGGATTAAAGATAATATTAACATAAGGGTGGTACATTCATAATATTTTTAGAAGTCATACAGAAATTCTATTATGCTCAAACTAAAAAAAATCTATAGATAATCAAAAAACCATAACTCTGGCGCTTATTTATTATCATTCCTCGTGCTTTACACGATATGGTAGGTAATAGTGTACACACAAAATAAATAATTCGTAAAATGATTATAGTTTATTGAAAGATGATTTTTAGTTTTCGTTCTCATTGTGTTTATGAGGATCATTTATACACGAGATTTCATGGGATCACATCTAGACGCATTGTAATACACCTAGCAGTACAAGTCCAGTAAGGCTAAAAAGATTCGCAATTAACAATTATATTTCAAAATGACAGCACAAGACCAGCCTTGAAAATAATCAGAAAAAGAAAAAAAAAAGAGTAATGATCGGTATTTAATATCCGTTTACGATAAGGTTTATGATCCGATACCTAAAATATACCGCCTGATTTGGGCACAAATTGTGGCGGCGGATGTCACCGGTTCGGGAAGGGTTAAACTCAAAACTTAAAAACAAATAAAACCATCAAACAATAAATTCAACTCTAAATAATCGAGATTTCTTCGAAATTCTATAAACCGTCTTGCTGCGCGGCAAATTTGCTTTCTCGGACTAAAGTTTTTACCGAGAAACTATTGAAAGTTATTATTGCTGTATTATTAATAATCAATAAATAATAAATAAATATACGATAAAAAAAAAAAAAAAGAGTTTATCAATCATTACTCAATCAATTACTTTATCCATATTGAAAGAACGTCCTACATTACAATATGCCTTAATAGAAACAAGTTTAGAAGAAATTTGATTGAAATAAATCCGATTACCTTTATAGCAATTTGGTAAACGTGATATGCTAAGTAAAGTAAAATATGCAAGCATTCGGTAAAAAGAAGAATCTAAATATTTTGCAAACTGAATTTTTAAATTGGAATGTTGGCTGTTCTTTATTCATAGTAAAATCATCATGATGGTAATACTAATCTGCAAGTAAAAGTTCTCCCAAGCGAACCTAGTATATATGTGTTTATAGTTGATAGGTTGATAGCCTGCAATGAGTTTACCCAACAATATCGATATATTTTCACACATAGCTGTCAGTAAGTTCAAATTAGCGCCAAACACTTTTTAATTGCTTCTATCTCGGCATTTTTTTTGTTTGTTATACCTGTAAATAAATAAATAAACCGACATTCCTTTTTATTTAAAAGTTCAACTTGGAATTTTCATCCCCACCTCTTCTTCCAACTTGAGGAAAGCCTTTCTTATTTGTACTTCAGTTCTTCATCAATTAATGCTCACTTGGTGACGGCTTTTTATGAATAATTAAGGTTTTCTTCCTTTCTTTTAATTTCTTTTTGTCAATTATAATATTTGTAATTCACTTGTTACTTTCATTTACATTTAGTATAATTATCAAAAAAAAAAAAAAAAAACTTTTCCTCTTCCAAATTAATCCGTCACTGAAATTTTATCATTTCCTCATATTCTCTCTTTTCTTTCCTCTTCTTTTTTGATGCACAAAAAATCTTAGAAAGATCCGATGACAATCGTACCTGTTTAATATCAGAAGTGGGAAGTTTAATCAACTTGACTGATGTTTTCAATTGGTCAAACTTTGAAATTACTCACATAATTCACATGATATTATTTCAATTACTCCGAGCCAATACATAATAAAAAAAAAAAATTTTTTTTTTTTATTATTAATTAATAATAATAAATTTATTACATCATTACCGGTATTTAATAAATTTTTTTTCGTATAAAATCCAGAGATTTTTACTTGGCAAACCAATTTTCTTCCTTCCTTCCTTTCATCCTTTTTATTCTTATCGTAAGAAATAGGTATCACATTTTTATAAACACACTACCAAGTAAAATATAACCCTTTTTTTCTTTTTTTTTTAAAAAAAAAAAAAAATTTTTTTTTTCTCTGTCTATTTGACATTTTTCCTTACCTATCAAATAAAAGATAAAATATTCATGTAAAATATTTAGAATTTTTTTTTTTTTTTTTTTTTTTTTTTGATAAATATTAAAAAAAAAATAATAACATTAATAATATATATATTATATTTATTATATTTAATATTATTTATATCAGTTAGTTATACATGGAGATGGGAGACAAAGACACTGCCAGTAACTATGTATTTGCTGATTCAAAAATTTACTACAGTACTGGTTCCAATAGTTTCAATGCTTCTAATGCTAGACAAGTCAGGAGTTTTGCGGTATGTTCTTCGAAAACCATTTTACGGATTTTTTCTTTAAATCAGATATCTAATCATGATTCATCATCATTTTAATAATATATATTAGATGTCACATATGTCAAATAATCAGCAAAAAACGGCTTGTCCTAGTGATAGAACAACTCGTAAACGAAGAGCTTCTCATGGTATAGTATAATTTTTATTATTTTTAATTTTATTTCATTTCTTTTTTTTTTTTCATATTTGAGTGAAAAATTCTGGAATGTGAAAAGGGAATGGTTTTTAAATCTTGGTCGCTCTCGACGACAGAGTTTCCTTGATCGAAGTCCTCCACCATCGAATTCATATAACGATTTCATCAATATATCTTTTTAACGAAAAATTCCTCATTTCAAATCGAACCATCGGTCAAAGTTGATTCTTCAAATCTATCACTCAAAATTTTTATTCACCATATCGAGTCCATTACGACCTATCCCCATTTCACATACTTGATATACTAGAATACTGTACTAGAATAGCAAGGATTATATAAAGCATGCGTTTTTTTAATTTAGTAATTATTATATATTATGATTCGCATTATTCTAATTTATATTTTTTATTTTTTTATATATATTTATTTTATTTTTTTAGATCCAAAGATGATCAAACCAAGAAAATTTATTATTGATGTAGAAGAAACAAAACGACTTTTATTAGAACAAGAGGATACTGATGGTGATTTTCAAATAACTATACATGATTCTGGTCCAAAGACTATATCTGTTGGTACTGCGGATTCTGATGGTTATAGAAAATTCGAAATTCGTGGTACTTATCAACTTAGTAACCTCTTACAAGAATTGGCTCTTGCTGCTGGACATGGTAGAAAACATGTTGTATTAGATGAAGCTAGATTAAATGAGAATCCTGTTGATCGTTTATCTCGTATGATAAGAAATCTTTTTTGGGATGGTTTAACAAGAAGGATTGATGCTGAAGGTTTAGAGGCTATTTGTGCTGATCCAAAAAATAGAACTGCTGATCATTCTCCAAGAATATATATACCTTATGGAGAAGTTGAAACTTTTTCTTATTATAAATTAGTCGCTGAAACTCGTCCTCATTTAAAATTAGAAGTGGAAATGCTTCCAAAAGATATAACACCTGAATATGTAAAAAGTATAAATGATCGACCCGGTATTTTATCTTTAGCAATGCGTAAACATATTGATGATCAAAAAAATGTTACTTTTAAAGGTGTTCCATTCATTGTTCCAGGTGGCCGATTTAATGAAATGTATGGTTGGGATTCTTATTTTGAAATTTTGGGTTTAGCTGTTGATACAAGAATTGATATGGCAAAAGGAATGGTAGATAACTTTGTTTATGAGATTACTCATTATGGAAAGATTTTAAATGCCAATAGAAGTTATTATTTAACTCGTTCACAACCTCCTTTTTTCACTGATATGGCTATAAAAGTTTATGAAAGATTAACTGATGAAGAGGAATCAAAGAAAGAATGGCTTAAAGTTGTTGTTCGTGCTGCCATAAAGGAATATCGTACTGTTTGGATGAGTAAGCCACGTTATGATCCTATAACAGGACTTTCTAGATTTCATCCTACTGGTCTTGGTATTCCACCAGAAACTGAAGCAAGTCATTTTGATCATGTTATTCTACCATATGCTAAACGTCTTGGTTTGACTATTAAAGAATATGCTGCAAAGTATCAAGCTCTTGAAATTCAAGAACCTGAATTAGATTCATATTTTTTACATGATCGAGCCGTTCGTGAATCTGGACATGATACAACATATAGATTTGACAAGCGATGTGCAAATCTTGTTACTATCGACCTTAATAGTTTATTATATAAGTATGAAGTTGATATTGGAGAGATAATTAGTAAAATTTTTGATGATAATTTAGAAATAGATGGTATTATTGAAACTAGTGAACCTTGGTTTGAAAGAGCCTTAGCTCGTAAAGAAAAAATTAACAAATATCTCTGGAATGAGGAAAAATGTCTGTATTATGATTATGATATTTCGCAACAAAAACAATCAATATATGAATCTGTCACAGCTTTTTGGGCACTTTGGGCCGGCTGTGCTAGTCAAGAACAAGCAGAAAAATTAGTGTAAATATTATTTATTACATTTATTGTATTTTATTTATTACATTTTATTTATTATCATCATTTATTTATTATTATTATCATTCATTCATTAATTTTATTTATTTATTTTTTTTCTGCTATTAATACATATTAATAGGAAAGTGTCTCTTCCTAAATTCGAAGTTCTTGGTGGTCTCGTTAGTGGTACAGAAGACTCTCGTGGCTCAATTACACTAGACCGGCCAAACCGACAATGGGATTATCCCTTTGGATGGGCCCCACATCAGATAATGGCATGGCGTGGTTTAGAAAATTATGGTTTCATGTCAGATGCTCGAAGGTTAGCGTATCGTTGGTTATTTACCATTACAAAATCATTCGTAGATTTTAACGGTGTTGTTCCAGAGAAGTATGATGTGGTTACATTAAGTCATTTGCTTAAAGTAGAATACGGGAATGTGGGTGTGGATTTCAAATTTGTACCACGGGAAGGGTTTGGTTGGATGAATGCTTCATATCAAGTCGGGTTATCCTACCTAACAAGTCATATGAGAAGAGCTTTGGGAGCCTGTACAAGTCCTGAAGTTTTCTTTAAGCATAAAATTGCAAGAGACGTTCCTGCTGTACCCTTAGAAAATACTTCTATTACGGAACATAAACGACTCAAAGCACTTGTTCTTGAGATTGATCAAAATTTATCATCAGTATCTGATTCAAGCACATTGGATTCAACGGTCATAAAAGATGATACGCTACCGGTAAAGGTAAAATCAATTGCCTTAGAAATTGGGCCATAAAATTCCGCATTTGATTTCACTAGAAATAATAATCATGGACTTTCAATCAAAATATTCGTTTTTATTCCTTCCAAAAATATCAATTTTCATAAAATAGACAATTTCGTGTCCATTTTCCTTTTCTCTTTTATATATATATATATATATATATATATTCGCTTTAAATTCAATTGGGTATATCTGAAACTTCATTTTTTTTTTTTTTCGTATTTTTAAATCTTTGCATGTGATGTTTGAATTCTTTTTTTTTTTTTCTTTGCCTAAATTTTTTTTCTTTCTTTGAATTTTTTTATTTAGTCAAAATGTAGACAATATAATTTATTTTATATATTTTTTTTTCCGCTTATATTATATTATTTGCAAATCTAAGGTTTTTTACTGAGATTATTTTACTTTGTAAATAATTTATAGTGCATTCCTCGTTTTATGCATGAATGAAAACTGATTTCACATAATAATATATGTTTTACATTCAATGCTATACATACATGATATCAATTATAAATTCCTCAAGTAAAAAATGATTTAAATTTTTATTTTTCTTTTATATATACGTTATCTTTTATTTCTTCATACGCAAAAACATGAAATTATATAGCAAATTAATCTTTTCACAAACAAATCTTAAGCTTTTTTCCCTTTCTATTTTTTTTTTTTCCGTCTTATAAAAAAAAAAAATCTCATTACAGTATATAGTGTATAAACAAATCTTTTTCAATATATATATATATATATATTTCTAAATAACTGAATTGTATTTAGTATCATATAGAAATAAATTTCTGAGCAACATAATAATTTTACTTCCAACTTTGATTAGAGAATTATCATAATGATTAATATATTCATGATATCTTATGTGACATATTACTGTCACCTCGCTAAGATTTGAAAATAGATTATTCCGACCTTTTAGTTTTATGAACTACGTAGTCACAAATTTTCAAATTAGTTCTATAACGTATACAAAAAACCTAACCCTCGGAACCAGATCGGGATTATCATATGAACAGAGATTAGATTTTGACTACTGCGTCCTTATCATCTAAATTAACAATTCACCTGATAACGATGGTGTGTTATGTGCATAAATAAATAAATAAATAATACGTAGTAGCGATAATAAAAAAGATAATCCGATAAAAAAATTTACTAAAATGAAACATAATAACAGATAAGAAAATAACAAAAAAAAAAAAAAAAACTTGTTTATTAAAAAATGGATAAATTATGATTACTCAAATGAAAAATATCAAAAAAAAAAAAAACTTGCTTATTACGTGAAATGGATAAAATAAGATTACTAAATGAAAATTATCTTAAGTATAAAGCTTCTTTTTTTATACGTACGTATTTTTAAATAAAATTTGTTTATTTATTTCTCCGTAGCGGTCAAAATTTTCTCCGTTTATGATTTTAATGGAAAAATAACACATGACAAGGATAAAAAACTGATGATTAATCATGAGTAAATATTACATACGTAATATACTACAGAACAAATATTATTCGTATCATGTATAAATTTGGAATAATATAATTGTTCTCCATTTTACTCCAAGACAATAGAGATGTAAAGAACTTTATACATGCAATAATCATGTTTTCTTTTAAAGTTAATAGTACCATATATGCCGAATTGGAGTATTTTTCTAACTTATTAGACCTAGGAAATTTGTGACACATTGTACGTAAAGTGTTCAGAATTTCGCGATACATAAATTTGCATACACTCTAAAATATTTATTTGTATTATATTTATACACACCGCAGAATTCTAAACACTCTAGTACAATGTATAATGGTTTATTATTTCTGTTCTATTGCTTCAGTATTCGAATATAAATCAAAATTTTGGTTTTCAAAAAAACTTGAGTAACTTTTTATTATTCGATTCGTTTCAATAAATACTTTTTAAAAGTATAATATTTTTTTATATTTAATTTTATAATTTTATACTAAATAATTTATTTTTAGAAATTTATAAATTAAGTTGTTAAATAAGTTTTTGTTATTTTAATAATAGTAAATTTATTAAAATTGGATTAAAATTTATTGATACATATTAAAATTTAAAAATTTAATATTTATTAGTTTATTTTATAAAACTATAGAAATTAATTAATTAAAATAAGTTATTTTGTATAATTTAAAAAAATTGATAATTTTGATATAGTTACATAATGAGTATATAACAAGCTATATGTATAACTTTAATTATTGTCTAATTTAAATAGTCTGCTATATAGATGATTGACTATCTGTTAATTTTATACTATACTGCTATACTTGCAACTTGCCTATAAGTTACCTATTTAAATACTCGGATTATTAACCCTTCACTTTATTTCAAACTACATTA